TTGTCCTTGGGATAGCATTGCAGGTAGGCCACACCCCTGGGGAAACTCCCCTTGGGCAGACCGGCCGCTCAGAACTCAGTCATGTGATCCATCATGGGAACCACCACTCACAATTGGAGTCCAGCCAAGTTGACACATCTTCAACTATCACAACAGATTTGTTCATTCTTCTCGCAGTCCATGATACCTTAAATATTCTTTGCCAATACCACAATTCAGAAGCATCAACTCTTCTTTGGTTTTTCTTATTCATTGTCCAGCTCTCATATGCATATGAAGCTATTATAAATACCATGGTTTGGGTCAGGCACACCTTAGTTTTCAAAGTGACATCTTTGCTCTGAAGAGGTCCTTTGCAGCATATTTGCCCAGTGCAATAAGTTGTTTAATTTCTTGACTGCTGCTTCCACGGACGTTGATTTTGGATCCAAGTAAAGTGAAATCTTTAACAACTTCAAACTTTTCTCCATTTATCAAGATGTTGCTTATTGGTCCAGTTGTGAGGATTTTTGTTTTCTTTATATTGAGATGTAATCCATACTGAAGGCTGTAGTCTTTGATCTCCATAGGAAGTGCTTCAAGTCGTCTTCATTTTCAGCCAAGTAAGGTTGTGTCATCTGCATATCACAGTTGTTAATGAGTCTTCCTCTTCTCCTAATGATATGCTTCCTGTAATGTGGCTTCTCTGATTATTTGTTCAGCATACAAATTGAATAAGTATGATGAAAGGATACAACCCTGATGCACACCTTTCCTGATTTTAAACCATGCAGTATCTCCTTGTTCTGTTCAAACAGTTGCCTCGTGATCTATGTAAAGTTTCCTCATCAGCACAATTGAGGGTTTTGGAGTTCCCATTCTTCACAATGTTATCGATAATTTGTTATGATCCACACAGTGAAGTGCCTGGATGTAATAAATAAAAGGGAGCTCTGGTGGCATAGTGTCTAAGGCATTTGACTACTAACCAGAAACTGGCAGTTCAAACCCACCAGCCATTCCTTGGAAGGAAGGTTGGGCAATCTACTTCTGTAGACATACTGCCTCAGAAACCCAAGGAGGGGTCACTAGGAGTCAAGTCCGACTCCACGGCATTGAGTTTGGTTTGGTAGTCAATAAAACACAAGTAAACATCTTTCTAGTATTCTTGTGCCTAAGGCACTTGACTGCTAACCAAAAGGCTGGCAGTTCAAACCCACCAGTCACTCCTCGGAAGGAAGGTTGGGCAATCTACTTCTGTAGTGATACTGCCTCGGTAACACAAGGAGGGGTCGCTATGAGTTGGGTCCGACTCGATGGCACATAACAACAACAGTATTCTTTGCTTTCAGCCAAGATCTATCTGACATCAACAGTGATATCTCTCATTCTACATCATCTTCTTAATCCTGCTTGAATTTCTGGCAGTTTCCTATCAGTGTACTGTTGCAACCATTTTTGAGTTATTTTTAGTACCGTGTTTGTTACTTGCATGTGAAATTAATGATATTATTTCATAATTTCTGAATTCTGCTAGATCACCTTTCTTTGTAATGCGCACATATATGAAACGTTTCCAGCTGATTGGCCACATAGCTGTCTTCTAGATTTTTTGGCGTAAATAAGTGAGCACCTCGTGTGCTGTGTCTGTTTGTTGAAACATCTCAGTGGATATTTCATCACTTCCTGGAGCCTTGTTTTTTGCCAATTCTTTCAATGCAGCTTGGACTTCTTCCTTCAGTGCAATTGGTTTTTGATCATATGCTGTGTCCTGAAATCATTGAACATTAACCAGTTCTCTTTGGTACAGTGGTTTTGTGTATTTCTTTCATCCTCTTTTGATGCTTCATGCATTGTTCAGTATTTTGCCATGGAATCCTTCAGTATTACAACTCAAGGCTTGAATTTTTTCTTTAGTTCTTTAAGCTTGAGAAATGCTAAGAATATTTTCCCCTTTGATTTTCCTTGTCCAGGTGTTTGCATATTTCATTATAGTACTTTTTCTTCTTGAGCTGCTCTTTGGATTCTTCTGTTCAAATCTTTACTTCATCATTTCTTCCATTTGTTTTAGCTACTCTCCTTTCAAGAGCAATTTTCTGACATCCATTTTGGTCTTCTCTTTCTTTCTTTCCTGTCTTTTTAATGACATTTTGTTTGCTCCATGTATGATGTTCTTGATGTCATCCCACAGTTTGTCTGGTCTTTGGTCCCTGGTGTTCAGTGCATCAAATCTGCTGCTTAGCTGGTGTCTAAATTCAGGTGGGATATAATCAAGGTCATATTTTGGCTTTTGTGAACTTGTTTTAATTTTCTTTAGTTTCAGCTTAAATTTGCATATGAGCAACTGATGGTCTGGTTCACGGTCGGCCCCTGGCTTTGTTCTGACTATGATATTGAGCTTCTCCTTTTCCACTTTGCCTTGCAAATGTAGTCAGTTTGATTCCTGTGTATTCCATCTGGTGAAGTCCACATGGATAGTAGAAGCTTTAGGAGGAAGAATTCTGGGAGTAATAATGAGACAGTATTCTTTTTCCCAGACTCCTTCTAATCTTTCATACACTGTTGGATCTGTGTGGTCAAAGCCAGTAACTAATTACCCTTGATTAATAATATAATAATATCTGTGGTTAATTTTACTGCCTATTCATTATAGACTATAGAGGAGAATGAATACTGTGTAATGAAAAAAAAAAAAAAATTTCCCAAGACCTTTTAAAAACTTTTATTTCTGCTTGTTTGTGTTTCAAATATGTTTCAACAGGAGAAGCTCTCAAAAGACATCGATTACCTTATTGGTAAGGAGAGCCAGGTGAAGAGTCAAATTTCTGAATTAAACTTATTAATGAAAGAAACAGAGGTAAGTGATAAACTGGTTTTTATATATTTCATTTATTCCCTTATACATTCATTTATTCATTCGTAAAAACTTGTGGGTAGTACATGAGCTAGGAATACAAACCTGTGTTAGATTTCACTCCTGATTTTCTGGGATTAGGGCAACAAATATAAAAATAATTTCTACTGCTTTGTGATCAGTGCTGTGAAGATAATGATTAAATGATATTGGAGCACAGAAGAAAGAATGTCTTTGTGCAGTGGTTAAGCCTCAAAACTAGTAATATAAGGGACATTTTCAGCTTTTTAAATTAGTTATATTTAAAACTGTTAGCTTAATTGCATTTTAAAAATAGTGTGAATAGCACTTGGTTTATTTAAAATTCCAAATATTCCTAAGTATACAACCTACATGTGTTCACCAAAAGACATATGTTAGGATGTTCATAGCTGCCTCATTTGTAATAGTCACAAACTGGAAACTACCCAAATGCTCAATAACAGTAGAATATAAATAGCAATGAGAATGAACTCAGCTTATAATTAGATACAGCAATATGGATAAATCTTGCAATTATGTTCAAAGAATGGTATCTAACACAAAGGAATACATGTGATGCAATTCCATTTATAAAACAACAAAAATAAAAAAAAAACCATTACTATCAAGTCAATTCTGACTCATAGTGACCCTACAGTACAGAGTAGGACTGTCTCATAGGATTTCCAAAGCTATAATTTTTATGGAAGCAGATTACCACATCTTTGTCTGGTGGAGCAAGTGGTGGGTTTGAGCTGCCGACCTTTCAGTTTGCAGCTGAGTACTTTAACCACTGTACCACAAGGGTTCCTTTAATAAAAATTACCAAAAAAGGTATGACTTTTTGATAATGCATGCATTAGAATTCAGGAGAGTTGTCTTAAAGTAGAGAGGATTAGTGCCTGGAAGGGTTATGAGGATAGTTTCTAGAGTATTGGTAATGTTGTTTCATCTGATTTGAATGATGTTACATGGGAATGTTTGGAAAGATTCATCTTTATACTTATATGTGCATTTTTTCTGTATGTATACTATACTTTTATTAAATTAAAAAGTTAAAATAGAGTATTTTTAAAATATTGTAAAAGAAGATAGGACTGAGTTACTTTAAAATTCTAAGTATTCTTTACTGCCTTTGGCACATGCCTATTTCTCCATTTGAAACAAATTTAAGAGCCATTATTCATGATCACTTTAACAGTTAATATTAAATATAAAAATATTAAGCTAATATGAAGGTGAGTATACTGTTACTTCTTTTTTTATTGTTAAAAATACACATTGCAAAACATACACCAATTAAATAATTTCTGTGTGTACAATACAATGACATTGGTTACATTCTTCAAATTATTCAGGTGTTTTCACCCTCCTTTTTTGATTTGTTCCTCTTCTTTTGACATAAACTCATTTCCCCCTAAGCTTCCTGTCTAACCTTTTGATTTGCTGTTAATAGTTTGATCTAGTTTAGTAACTTTTTATAAGGAGCATAAGGCCCATGGTGGGCATTCTTTACTAGTCAAGCTAGACTCTGGTTTAAAGAAGATTTCAGGAGATATTTTGGGTTTTAGTTTCAGGATTAAAGAAGATCTCAGGGCAATATTTGGACTGTTACTTCTTGATAGAAAATGTTTTCGAAAATAAGATGAAATTATTGAGAAATTATATGCATTAGCACTATATAACAAGAACTGCTTCAGTTTTTAGTATTCTTTTACTGATCTTCACTGACTGCATTTACCACCCTAAGTAAATTGTTTTTCCATGAAATTTAAAGTGGGATTTTTGTTTTTCATATTTTTGTCTGATGAAATGACAAATCCTGTCAGTTTGGTATGATCTCCTAACATATAGCAAGTTACAACATAGGTAATAGGCTGGTTCTGGGATAGTATTTTAGGTCATTTTCATTTTAGGCCATAGATCATTTTTAAGTTTTTTTTTTAAACTATTGATTTTCTCATTCATATTGTCTTTTACTTTCATTGCCTGTTTTTGAGCAACATTGCCATCAAACATTCATGTAGGCACTGATCCCTTAGGATTCTAGAGAAATTATTTTGACTTCTTTTTGTACCTTTGATCTAAGTTGTATATGTAGTAGGCTTAAAAGTGTAAATATTTTCTATACTAGAGAACTTGTTTCTATTCTTGACTTTTACTCAGTGATTGTGACACTATCTTGTAGGCTATGATTTTATTTGGCAGAAGAAAAACGCCTTTTTACCTATATATAATGATATTTCTGGTTTAATGTTATGGTATGTCATTGAAATACTATGAAGACTATCTAAACATCATCCCACCCCACCCCCCACCACCCCAGCATTTTTTAAATTTGGCTGTTGGGTTTAGAAACAGAGAAAGAAATCTGGAAAAAGTCCCCTTTGATTATAAATGGTGGTCATGAGCCATTGAAAAGTGAACAGTGCGCTTCTAACATTCACTTTCAGCCTTCAAGAATGTGCTTGGCTTTTTTCTGTTGGTTGTTGCCTATGAGTCTATGTAACAGAGCCAGTGAGTGCTCTGTTTTCAGAATCAAGTGGGTCTCTGATTTTTATGGACGTTCAAAATGTTTGATAAGTGCTACAGATAGGATTGTTTTATTCCAGAGAAAGAGCTACATGTACAGCAATAATAATATTTATGGATAGTATGTGAACTTGTGGTACGTATTTTATGTAAATGATCTTGTTTAATTGTGATGAAACTCTAAAGTGAATAGATTTTCTTATCCCCAGCTTTCAAAAGAGAAAAACTCAAGCATATAGAATTAAGTGATTTGCATAAAGCCACACAGTTGACTTAGTTATAATTTATTAATGATAAATTATAATTAAATATATATACTAAAAACCAAACTCACTGACGTTGAGTCATTTCAACTCATAGTGACCTCTCCTTGGGTTTCTGAGGTGATATTTCTACAGAAGTAGATTGCCCAATCTTCTTTTCAAGGAGTGGGTGGTGGGTTTGAACCACCAGCCTTCTGGTTAGCAGTCAAATGCCTTAGGCACTATGCCACCAAAGGTCCCAAATACATATAATAAATATAATAATTATTGATTGAAATTAAATTATATAAATTTGAGGAGCAGACTTAATACTTTAGTAAATTATCCCATTTGTGTGTGTGTGTTTCAATGGTTGTAGTTTAGCTTTTAAAAAAACTGGAATAGAGTGGAAAAATGCCACAAAATTTCCTGAATTAGAAGGGAATTCCAGACTCTGCAATTGTATTTCCCTTTGTCTTTGGTTAAATCAGCTGATTTCTGCTTCAAATTCTTTTGTATACAGTTTGAAGATTATTGTTTTCTTATTTCATTAAATTATCTATTGGTAGGCTTTGGAGGTGAAAAGCTTAAGGAAAAGTAAGTCTAACTTAAAAGTTATTGTGTTAGACTGGGTTCTCTAGAGAAACAAAACGAGTAAAGCTTATATATAGAGAGTAAAGGAAATTTATCTTAGGAAAATGGCCTGCACACTTAAAGAATCTGGCAAGTCCAAAGTTCTTGGATCACAAGTCAAGCTGGAGGCTTTCCCAACTCACGAAACTGCAGGAGCTGAGGAGCTCAAGGTTGGCAGGCAGCACACTGGCTATTGACTCCAACAAATGATGAATCCAAGATCTCCAGGCCAAATGGTAGATTGTTCGTGACAGACAGTTGTAGGCAGCACAACAGAATCCCAATCCACAGAAGAGTATCTCTTTTCCCAGGATGTTCATAAATATACTGGAAGCAAGCCATACCACTAGGGAAACTCTGTTTCAGTGGATTGGATGCTCAAAACATATACATCTGATCCCATCATTGGAACAACCACATCACAATTGCTTAAACCACACAGAATTGTGGTCTACCCAAGTTGACACACAGCTCCAACTATCACAGTTACCAAAATTCTTTGCTAAGTACACGACTCGACAGCACGTATCAACAGCAAGTACACCAAAACCAAACCCACTGCCATGGAGTCAGTTCTGGCTCATAGCAACCCCCATTGGGTTTTCAAGGAGGTGAATCTTTATAGAAGTAGATTGCCTCATCTACCTTTAGTGGAGCAGCTGGTGGGTTTGAACCACTGACCTTCTGGTTAGCAGTCAAATACCTTAGGCACTGTGCCACTAGAGCTCCTTTCGCTAAATATAGTTGATGCCAGGTTAGAAAATTTCAAGTTGTTATGTGCCGTCGAGTCAGCCCCGACTCATAGAGACCCCTCCTTGGGTTTCCGAGAAAGTATCACTACGGAAGTAGGATTGCCCAACCTTCCTTCCGAGGAGTGGCTGGTGGGTTTGAACCGCTAGCCTTCTGGTTAGCAGTCAAGTGCTTTAGCCACTATGCTACCTGAAAATTTCAAGAGAGGTAAAATTTTTTTTTGGAAAAAAAAACAATATCTCAGTTTGTTTTATTGAGTTTTGATTTTTGCCATCATGTAAATTAAATATAATTAAGTAGAATTTTGTGAAAAGATACTGATTTAGCAGATGAGGTAATGTTTTCTTTGTTTTATAATAGTGTAATGGAGAGAGGGCCAAGGAAGAAGCAATTACACATTTTGAAAAGCTCTTTGAAATTCTGGAAGAAAGGAAATCATCTGTTTTGAAAGCAATTGATGCTTCTAAGAAACTAAGATTAGACAAATTTCAGACTCAAATGGAAGAATATCAGGGGCTTCTAGAGAACAATGGGCTTGTGGGATACGCTCAAGAAGTGCTTAAAGAGACGGATCAGTCTTGCTTTGTTCAGACAGCAAAACAACTCCACCTCAGGTATTTTCTTTTACTTTTAACTTTAAAATTTCTTCAGCAGTGTCATTAAATGCTGTTGTATATTTCAGGTTTAGCTGTGTGTTGTTCATAATGCTGTGTTATGTAAAGTATGTCTTGCTTCAGCCTGAACTTGAATGAACTATTAAGTTATTCATTAAACACATGGCAGATATTTAGTCTGGTTTGCCATTAAAGAATCGTTTGTATATGAAATATTGTATCTGTCTGCAGAATACAGAAAGCTACAGAATCTTTGAAGAGCTTCAGACCTGCAGCTCAGACTTCTTTTGAAGACTATGTTGTTAATACAACTAAACAAACAGAAGTGCTTGGAGAATTGTCCTTTTTCTCTAGTGGTAAGACTCTTATGCTAAATTCACACTGTGTAGAAAAAACACAAACTCCCTTGTGTTTGACATGATAAGCAGCATCTTTGTTGTCCAAGACATTATCTCATCCCAAACCCATATTGAATTTATGCTTTTACAGCTATGTTTTATACCCTAAAACTATGTATAGTCTCTTGGTTTATATATATATATATTTTTAAATTAGGATAGAGATTTGTTCATCCATGAAGTTCTAGATTAAAACTATATTTTAACGGTATTTCATTGTATAAAGAATCATTTTCCTATGGAGAGACAGTTACTGTTTTTTCTCTATATAAGCAGTGCAGTATTGAACATCCTTGTCAGTATTTCTTTGTGCATGTGTATGTGAGTTTCTCTAGGACAGAAACATAATAATGAAATCTGCAAGTTAAACCTGACTCTACCAAAAAAAAACCTCACAGCCATCAAGTCAATTACAACTCATAGTGGCCCCCATTGGGTTTCTGAGGCTGTATGTAAATCTTTACAGAAGTAGATTGCCCCATCTTCCTTCTGCAGAGCAGCTGGTGGGTTTGAACCACTGATCTTCTGGTTAGCAGCCGATGCCTTATCCATTATGCCACCAGTATAGGATGTTTGTATTTTGCTACTTCCTAGTGGGAAGTCTTCCTTTCCTTCTTACCTGATGATTCTCCCTCAGGTTTCTTTTCCAGTGATAGTAAACAATCACAATCCTTAGAAAGGTATAATTGTGGTCTAATTATTATATTGGCATAGATGTGTAGATGTGTACACTCACTGAAAATAATTTATCTTATTTTATGTAAGTTAAGAATTCTGAAGAACTACTGTGACTCCATTTCTTTTCAAATCTATTCCTACATCTTCTTTCAAATAGATACTTAACTGTTCATTATGGCTACTTTGTTTTTTCAAATGGATATTTGATACTGTTTAAATATACTTCCCCTGTTCTCTAAATGTATATTTGAATTTGTTTATTTGTGAATGCATGTGGGGAAAGGTGAGGCTGATGGTGGAAAATCTTGAGTTGTATCCATGTGTATATAACAATCAGAAAACCGATGAGTAAGAATGGAAATAAGGTAGTCACTCAGCTTCTAGCTGATGGCTGTTCCTTTCCTTTTCTCCTACTTGCATATATTTTTTGTAAGCTGTGTTTCAAAGAAAGAAAAGAATGAGTATAGGCTCTAGGGTATATTATTCTGTAACTTACACTTTTTTTTTTAAATACTTTAAATCAATGACTTTCCAAACTTCACTATGACTGTAGAACATTCAGTTGTATAAATGCATCATAAATATACACACTTATAAATTACTCATACAGTCAATCCTCATTATTTGTGGATTCTTCATTTGTGAATTTTCCTACTCACTAAAATATATTTGTAGCCCCCAAATCAGTACATGTATTTTTGCAGTCATTCATGGGCATGTACTTACATATACAGAGTGGTGAAAACTGTGGGTTGCCCAACACACAAGGCTGGTTCAGTATTTGCTAATTACTGTTCAAAGGCACTTTTGTAACTACTGTGAATAACAGAAGATGACTGTATATTGCAGTGGGATAAGAAGAGAGAGATGACTTTTTCATTTCATACCTTTCTCTATGATTTGATATAAATGTATGTGTGTGTGGGTAACTTTTACCTTTATAGCTTTTTTATTGTACCCAAGCAGGTAAGCTTATGAGAATGTACTCTATGGAAAGGATTGTGAATGTACGGAAAGATTTAGTGGGAATATTTTAATCATTATATTTTGATGAAAACTTGAAAACATTTTCAGGCAACATCCAACTGCATATATGTCCGTGGTCCCAACCTCCATAAAGCCAATTTATTACATTAAAAATTCAAGGTGCATACAGTGGTTCATAATAACAAATAGGTGCTACTTTGTGACACTCATCAAAACATTATTGTTATTGTATTATTATGTTAAGGATGTTTTAGTGTATCTGGAAGTGTTTCTTTAATGTTTTTTTATGAATATAGTACACTGTATTGTATTATATATTCAGATAAACGTGTGACTAACTGATGGCAACCCAAGGAGGGGTCGCTATGAGTCGGGGCTGACTCGACGGCACATAACAACAACAACAACAACAACTGATGTTAGATATGAACTATATACTTAACCGTTTTGACTTAACTGCTTTGGTTACCTCGTGCTGTTCCAACAGAAATACCACAGATGGGATGCTTCACAAACAGGAGTGTATTCTCTTACAGTTTTGGAGTCTAGAAGTCAGAGTTCAAAGTTCCAGGCTCTAGGGGCTAGGTGAAAGCCCCTCAACCTTGGGCTTCAGCTCTGCCTCTTGCTCCTGGCCCATTGAAGCTAGAGGCTCTTCTTTACTCAGGCAGCTGCTGGCTACTGAGGCTGACAAGCTCAAGGTTGGCAAATAAAATGGCACAGTCCTGATAGTACCAAACCACATGGCAGGCCACTAATTCAAGTACAAAAAAAGTCCCAAGATTGGTAGGGCATGGCAGGCTGTTGAATAACGAGTTGGCTACATGCAGGGTTCAAGCATGCCCAAAAGCTGGAGACCTTCCTCAAAATTGCTTCTTATATACTAGAAGCAGACTACATCCCTAAAGCAGCTACTCGAGTGCTCCAGTAGATTCCACCATGGAATTGATTACCAGTCTCACCATGAGGAATAAGTACAACCAGCTGCCCAGCCACTCAACTTGTTGTTGTTGTTATGTGCTGTCGAGTCAAATCCGACTCATAGCAACCCCTCCTTGGGTTTCCGAGGCAGTATCACTACGGAAGTAGGACTGCCACTCAACTAGGCCCTGTCAAATTGACACACAACCTTAACTACCACAGTTACATATCAGTTTGACTTAAAAATAGATTTAGAAGTGGAACTCATTCTTAATTCAGGGACTGCCTGTATATGACATGGTATTCACACAACATCCAAATTACAAAACATCCTATTTTACAGAATGTATCATGGATGTTAAATGATGTATGAGTGTAATAGAATATCACTGAGGGAACACTAGCATGATTACATCTTTTGTTTACTTTATGCATTATGTATTTTTCCAACAAAAAATATGTTTCATGTTTGTACTAGGGATAATTTATTTAAATTGCTTTGCAACTTTTCAGAAGAAAATATGAAAAAAATTGTGTAATGCTTCTAGAGAATTTGTTTTATATATTCCCCAAAATTTGGTGTTTAAAATTTATTAAAATAATAGTTTATGTTTATTGGCAGGCATAGATGAAAAATTTCAAGAGTAGGTTTGTTATTCAGTAGGTAAAAAATGAAAGTATATAGTTAAAAATTTTAATTTATAGTGCTTCAGAATTGATGATTATAATACTTAAAGCTATAACTGAGTCTTATAAATTTTGTCTTATTCTTTTTCTTGTTTTTGTTGTAAATACACATACCTTTTTGTCCTTTTATTGTTTATCTTTTGTGTTACACGTGGTTTATAATTTAGAAAATTTTAAGATAGTTTAGAAATAATTATGTCAATACCAAATCCACTGCCATCAATTCCAACTCATAGCAATATAGGACAGAGTTGAACTGCCCCATAGGGTTTCCAAGGCTATAAATCTTTGCAGGAGCAGATTGCTTCATATTTCTTCCATGGAGCAGCTGGTGGTTTCGATTTGCTGACCTTTTGGTTAGCAGCTGAATGCCTTAACCACTGTGCCACCAGAGCTTTTAAGTATGTCGATACATTATTTTTACTGAGGAAATAATATTTTTAAATATCAGTATTGTAACATTGCTTTTTATTTCATGATTCTTTCAGGCATGGATGTACCAGAGATCAATGAAGAAAAGAGCAAAGTTTATAACAATGCCTTGATAAATTGGCATCATCCAGGAAAGAATGATAAAGCTGATAGCTATGTTCTTGAATATCGGAAGATTAACAGAGATGAAGAAATGCTGTCATGGAATGAGATAGAAGTGTGTGGTACAAGTAAAGTTGTTTGTGATTTAGAAAGTAATTCCTACTATGTCTTCAGAGTGAGAGCATACAAGGGCTCAATCTGTAGTCCCTGCAGCCGAGAATTGATTCTTCATACTCCTCCTGCTCCAGGTATCGTGAATATTGGGAATAAGAAAGAGAAAGCTACAAGAGACCTTGATAAAATAGTCAACGTGTCCATGTACACCTGTATTGAAACTAGCTCTCATTATTGAAAGGCTGGAAAAGGAGATTCCATACCCAGTTAGGGTTTAGAAGTGGACTAGATCATACTTGAATTTCACCAAACAGACTGAAAACAGAATTGGATTTTGACTGACATCACATACAGAAAAACACGAATGGAAGAAAAAATACAGATTTTAATATTCATAATTCTGATTATTAATTTCAGTTGAAATGGCATAAATGCTACCTTAACAGTTTAAAATATTATATAGTATAATTCTGTATTTTTGGTCAATTTATAGACATGTGTCTCTATCCTGTATGAATCTAGGTATGTTTAAAATATAAAAATTACAGTAGCATGAAATACAATGTTGATTTAATTTCCTTCTGGCTTGCTAGGATTTTCTAACTCAGTGATTCCAACACATGGGGATGAAAGGCATATCTTAGAACCATGTGGACAACTTTTTGTTGTCCTTCCTCTTTCCCTTTTTCAGCTTAAAAACCAGTGATGTGAATGTCATTTGTTGAATGCCTATAGATTTTTATAGAATGAGAATGATTTATAGTTTAGTTGATGTTCACTCCATGGTTAAAGGACCTTTAGAACCAAAGTTGTGGTCTTTTGTAGTTAGCAGAAAAATATCTTGCCCTGTTGACCACCACCCTAGAGATTTCTTGGACTGCATTTCCTTGTCCTGTTTTTAGAGGCTTATTTTCCCTTATTTTCTGCACTCTGCTCTTCTTCTCTTTTCTCTAAGATAGAGAAGCAATGTATTATCTATCCACTATCTGTTTATCATGCATATTGTAGCTTTAAAGAAATAGCATACAAGTGGAGTTGGCTAAAGTTATTTTTCTTGGATTTTAATAATATCCAGTGGATTTGCAGGTGTTCTGTAGTTCACGCTGTTTCTGCTTTTTTCTCTGACTGAAAGTGGAAGAAAAAGAAACCTGGAAGTGGCTACTGTTTTTCAGTAGTATAGTGGAGGGGGAAGGAGAAAAGGAATTGTTTGTGATACTCCCTTTTCTCTGAGAAAAGCCATATGAATAGGGTGGCCAGATAACTTAATTGTGCAAACTGGGAGACTTTTGTTGTTTAAAAGAAGCACTGATAATTGCATCAGGATGACAGGCTTTACCTGGAGGAACTTCAGCCTGCATATTGGGGGATGGTTTTCCCTTGCTAGTAGCCAATTTTATGCTTAATGGATCAAGTTGTTAGAGACTTTTGAGAGTGGTGGTATCTCCACCTTGTTGTTGTTGTTATGTGCCCTTGAGTCCAGTGGACTCATAGTGACCCCTCCTTGGGTTTCCGAGGCAGTATCACTATGGAAGTAGATTGCCCAACCTTCCTTCCAAGGAGTGGCTGATGGGTTTGAACCGCCAGCCTTCTGGTTAGCAGTCGAGTGCCTTAGGTACTAAGCTATAGATGAGGAAATTAAAGGTTAGGTCAAATTCTAGTTAGTACTTGATCAGGGATGCAAACCCAGGTCTCTGAACCCAGAGTCCTTCCTTTTTCTTTTCTTGCACTTATAGCATGTTTCTCTTGTCTGCCATGTTGATTGATAAAATACCTTATTAAAATAGCTGAAGTTTTCCAAATTTATAACATTTGGAATAGATATTTAAGAATATATTTAAATAGATGTACTAGGGACAGATGTGATAGTATAAAATAATCAAGGATCGATTTAGCTATCTCTCTTCCAAGGAACTGCATTCAGAAATTTTCTCATACATTTCTTCTGCTTTTGAGATTTCTGAAGCTTTTCAGATACAGAAAATTTACTGAAAGTTCTTCTAAATTGGAGTTTTGTTACAGGTTTCTAGGGTATGTCCTGTTTTGGGAAGATTTTTCTCATTTATTCAGTAATTTATATTTTTAGAAACCTATTAGATTTAACCTTAAGTTTTAGAAATGTTCATAAATGATTTTCAGACTAATTTTAAACTCTATTTAAAGTTTTCAGTTTTCTCTTTGATGAAAAATGTGGCTATAACAATGAGCACCTCTTGCTGAACTTAAAGAGAGATCGTGTAGAGAGTAGAGCTGGATTTAATCTTCTGCTTTCTGCGGAACGTGTCCAAGTGGGCTATTACACAAGTTTAGACTACATCATCGGAGATGTCGGAATTACAAAAGGGAAACATTTTTGGGCCTTCCGTGTGGAACCGTATTCATACCTGGTAAAAGCAGGAGTTGCTTCCAGTGATAAGCTACAAGAATGGCTCCGCTCTCCCCGGGATGCAGTTAGTCCAAGGTAGATTCTTTGATTGCTGTAGGACTTTGCTAATTCTGTTAAAAGTAAATATCCTTGTTTAGAAACCACCAGGTGTACTGGTCTGATAGAGCATGATAAAACCACTGAGACTATGGACCCTGCTTCCCTTCAGGTCTGGAATTGAACCTACTACTGTGGCTACTAGCGAAACAAAAGACAGGCGTATAAGCTGAATGCTTACATTAGGTAGATACACTCCTTGGAGAGATCAATCATGGGAGAATGGAAAGGCTGTGTATACAGGGAGACAGCTGGGGTCGGGGGAGCAGGAGTGCATGGGAGGGAAGGACACAGGAAAGAGGTGGCTATGCAGAGGACCTGGAAGGGTAGCTGTTGCATTGTGGGAAATTGTAGCCAATGTCATGAGACAGTGATGTGAGCTTGCTGTATGGAAGATGAATTTGCTCTGTAAACTTTCACCCAAATCACAATAAAAAATTTTTTAAAAAAGTAAATGTCCTTGTTAGTAAGATAACCCTGGAAATAGACTTAGATTTATTTATCACATATAGAGCATGTATTTCTTAGATTCATCTGTTTTGGCTATACTTAGGTAACTGGCTAATAAAGAGTCAGGTTGTCTGACACAGTGAATAATGAAATTTGCCATTTAATTTCTAATGATGTGATGAACTAAGTTGTTTTGTATACTTCTTGATTATGATACAGCTTTGTAGTTTGAAATTTTAAAAGTCTTTCATATCAGTTAACCTAAATTATGTGATAAAGATTACTCACGTATATAGTGAACGGACTCTAGTTGTCATATTTCAGATTTACTAATACTAAATTGTTCTTTTATGATGGGACAGAGTTTCTTTAGACTCTATCAGTAATTTCAAAATTGGGTCATGTTTGACATGCTTCTACACCTAGAAATTCTAGTTTCTGAAGAGATTGTACATTTAGATTGTACACTTAGGTGGATTACAGTGAACTAGTGAAGACCAAACTTTTGACCACTTAATGTAAATATCCCAAGTAACAATCTGTATTATAGGAAAACATTTTTTTTTTACAAAGGATTTTATATAACAATGAAAATTAGAGCAAGGAAATCATTAATTAAGCCTAGTGGCACATCTACTTGATAGAATATTAGTATTAATATTGTTATAAAAGTTTAATGAGAAATAGTAGAAGTGAAAAAATCTGATTAAAATTTTTGATGCAGTATAATCACAAATGTATAAAATAAGCTATGCATTGAAATAAATGGAAGTAACATATAAAAATTATCTATAGGCAACTGCTTTTTTATTTGTTAATATCATAGCTTGATATAGAAATCCCAACCAGGAAATAGTGTTTTGGAGGGAGAGAATGAAGCATGCTTGTTTCACTGGCATTGTTTTACAGTGCCTATTTATTTTATGTAGTCTAGTAATTCCTTGTCTTTGTGCTTTGTTATATATCATTGTGTCCTATAAATATATAATCTTTGGTAGGCCCCTTCATTCTTCTCCCTCACTTTTTTTTTTTTAAATCAGGTTACTAATGATTTTTATGTTTTATCTGGTGCATATATCTAGGTAAAAGTGGATGACATTTTATGTCAGAGACTGGGGTTTTTTCTGAAGTATACTTCTAAATGGCAATATGTAGCATTTGTTTTTAATTGATTTCATTTTGGTAGAAAATTTCTGATGTAAAAATTATTATAACTTTAAATTGATATATTGTCTTGTGAAAAGATTTTAAAGATAATGCTTTATGGATGATGATACAGATAAGATTCTACTTTAACTGTTTATGTATTGCATTTTAGGTATGAGCAAGACAGTGGGCATGACAGTGGAAGTGAAGATACCTGTTATGATTCTTCACAACCTTTTACATTAGTTACCATAGGCATGAAGAAATTTTTTATACCCAAGTCACCTACTTCCTCTAATGAACCTGAAAATAGAGTCTTTCCCATGCCAACAAGTATAGGAATTTTCCTGGACTATGATAAAGGTAAAGTGGGTTTCTACGACATGGATCACATGAAATGCCTTTATGAGCGCCAAGTGGACTGTTCAAATACGATGTACCCAGCATTTGCGCTAATGGGAAGTGGAGGAATTCAACTTGAAGAACCCATTACAGCAAAGTACCTGGAATACCAAGAGGACATGTAGTATAAACATCTGATGAGAGTTAGGATGAGAAATGTGAACAGAGCAATGCCTTGGTGTTAACCTCCACAACTAATTACATATCATCTAAGTGTCTTGTCACTAATGCTTGTTTTTTGTTTTATCTTAAAACACAGACAACCTAAATAGCCTTGTCTCTTGCATGTCATTGTTCTGCCTTTCACAAATAATGGGAGCAAAGACAGAGCCTTTTTTTTCTCTTTAAATTTTGTTATTGTTGAGAATATACACAGCAAAATATACACCATTTTAACAGCTTCTACATGTACAATTCAGTGACACTGAATTTTGAATTGTGTACCATTCTCATCCTCCTTTTCTGAGTTATTTCTCCTCCACTAACATAAAACTTACTGCCTCATAATGTTCCTATCTAATCTTTCAAGTTGCTGTTGTCAGTTTGATCCCATACAGATAGTTCTTAAAAGAGCATAATGCTCAAGGCAGAACTTTTTTACTAGTTAAGCTAAATTAGTGTTTGGTTTTAGATGACTTCAGGAGATGCTTTTGGTTTAAGATTGGAAGATTATCTGAAGGCAGTAGTTTTATGGGTTCATCTACCCTCTGTGGCTCCAGAAAAGTCTGGAGTCCATTAGAATTTAGAATTCTGTTATAGTGTTCCCCCTTTTGATCAGTATTGTTCTATGGAATCTTACTGAATCAAAATGTTCAGTAATGGTAGCTAGGCGCCATCCAATTCTGATATCATGGCAAAGGAAGCCACACATTCTATATCCTCTTCCTATTCATGACTCTCCTTCTTCCTCTATTGCTCCTGGTGAACAGAGACCCCTTGTTATGCCTTGGATGGCTGCTTGCAAGCTTTTAAGACCCCAGGAACTATGCACCAAACTAAGAGGTAGAACAGAAGCACTAAACATTTTATTAGGCCTGTTAACTGAGATGTTCCATGAAACCATGAACCTAAACCTCCAAACCAAGGAATGTACCTGTGAAGTGTTGGATTGTGCTTAAGCAGGGTCAGCAGCTACTCTTTGTGTGTGTGTGTGTGTGTGTGGTTGTTGTATATTTATCTATCACAAAACTTTTGCCAGCTCAACTTTTTACAGTCATACAACTTACTGATTGCAATTATAATAATTGACTGTGCAACCCTACCCGTAATCAGTGTGGTTTCTCTAGTACCATTAACCCCCTTTTCCCTCTTCCTCCCACCCCTGGTAACTACTAATAAACTTTGGTCTCTATACATTTGCCTTTTCTTGTCTTTTTATATAAGTGAGGTCATACTGTATTTGTCCTTTTGTGATTGTTATTTCACTCATAATGTCTTTAAGCTTCATCCATACTGTAGCATGTATCAAGATTTCATTTCTCCTATTAGCTGAGTAGTTTTCTATTGTATGTATGTACCACATTTTGTTTATACATTTATTTGTTGATGGGCATTTAGGTTGTATCCATCTGTTGGCTATCGTGAGTAGTGCTGCCATGAACATTGGTGTACAAATCTCTGAGTCTCTGATTTCAGGTCTTTGGGGTATGTAGTTAGGAGTGGAATTGCTGGGTCATATGGTAATTCTGGGAGCTCTGGTGGTGTAGTGCTTAAGGCATTTGACTGCTAACCAGAAGACTGGCAGTTCAAACCCACCAGCCACTCCTCAGAAGGAAGGATGGACAATCTACTTCCATAGTGACACTGCCTCGGAATCCCAAGGAGGGGTCACTAGGAGTCGGATCTGACTTGAGGGCAGTGGGCATGGTAATTCTATTTTTAGTTTTCTGAGGAACTGCTACACTGTTTTCCACAATAGCCATACCATTTTTCATTCCCACCAGCACTTTCCCCACATCCTCGCCAACATTTGTTACTTTCTGTCTTTTTTAATCTTAGCCATGCTGTTGTTTTTAGGTTCCATTAGTCATCTCCAAATCATAGTGATCCTATGTACAACAGAATGAAACACTGCCCAGACCTGTACCATCCTCATGTTCCCTGCTGTTCCTGAGCTCATTGTTGCAGCCACTGTGTCAGTCTATCTTGTTGAGGGCCTTCCCCTTTTTCGCTGACCAAACATGATATCCTTCTCCAGAGAATGGTCCCTTCTGACAACATGACCAAAGTAGATGAGACAAAGACTGGCCATTCTTGCTTCCAAGGAGCATTCTGGCTGCACTTCTTCCAGGACAGATGTGTTAGTTCTTTTGGCAGTCTGTGGTGCTCTCGATATTATTCGCAAACACCACAGCTCAAAAGCATCAACTCTTCTTTGGTCTTCCTTATTCATAATCAAGCTCTCACATGGATATGGGGTGATTGAAAATACATGGCTTGGGTTAGGCGCACCTTAGTCTTCAAGGAGTCATCTTTGCTCTTCAGCACTTGAAAGAGGTCTTTTTGCAGCAGATTTGCACCATACCGTACATCTTCTGATGTCTTGCCTGCTGCTTCCACTGGTGTTGATTGTAGAACCAAGTAATATGACGTCTTTGAGAAGTTCAGTCTTTTCTCCATTTATTGTGATACTGCTTACGGGTCCAGTTGTGAGGATTTTTGTTTTCTTTATATTGAGGTGTAATCCGTACTGCAGACTGTAGTCTTCAATCTTCATCAGTAAATGCTTCAAGTCATCTTTCAGTAAGCAAAGTTGTGTCTATCGTCTGCATATCACAGGTTAATGAGCCTTTGTCCAATCCTGATGCTGTGTTCTTCTTGACATAGTCCAGCTTCTCAGATTATTTTCTCACCATACAGATTGAATAAGTATGGTGAAAGGATATAACCCTGACGCACTCCCTTCCTGATTTTAAACCATCCAGTATCCCCTTGTTCTGTTCGAACAACAGCCTTTTGGTCTACATACAGGTTCCTGATGAGCATAACCAAGTGTTCTGAAATTCCCATTCTTCTCAGTGTTATCCATAATTTGTCATGATCCACACAATCAAATATTTTTGCATAATCAATAAAACACAAGTAAACATCTTTCTGATAGTCTTTGCTTTCAGCCAAGATCCATCAATATCAGCAATGATATCCCTCATTCCACGTCCTCTTCTAAATCCAGCTTGCAGTTTTGGAAGTTCCACTACCCATGCTAGTGGAAGTGAAATGGTATCTCATTGTGGTTTTGACTTCTGTCTCTCTGATGGTTAATGACACTGAGCATCTTTTTATGTGTTCGGTGGCTATTTGAATGCCCTTTTTGGTGAAATGTCTATTCAGGTCTTTTGCCTATTTTATGATTGGATTATTTGCCTTTTTGCTATTAAGTTGTTGAAATTCTACATATATTTTGGTTATTAAGTTCTTGTTGGATATATCGTTTCTGAAGATATTCTCACAGTCTGTAGGTTGTCTTTTCATGTTTTTGATAGTGTCTTGATGAGCGAAAGTTTTTAATTTTTATTAGGTCCCATTTATTTATTGTGTCTTTTGCTGTTTGTGTTTGTTATATTAGATAATCCATTGTTGAAAGCTAGGCCTCACAGCATCACCCCTGCTTGTTTTTCTAAGAACTTATGGTTGTAGTTTGCATATTTAGGTCTTTGTTCCATTTTGAATGTGTTTTTGTAAATGGTGTAAGACATAGATCCTGTTTCATTTTTCTGCATGTGGAAATCAAATTTTCATAGCACCATATATTGAAGAGACTCTTCTTTCCCTGTTGAATTGACACAGCAGTCAAAATTTAGTTGACCATAGATGTATGAGTTTATTTCTGAATTCGCAGTTCTGTTCCATTGGTCTTGCTGATTATTAAAGCTGTATAGTATCTTTTAAAATCAGGAAATGTGAGCACTCCTCCTTTTTTTCTTCTCTTTCATTGCTTTAGCCATTCCAGAAAAAGTTGAAGATTGTGAAGACACCCTTTCGTAGTTATCATTGAAATGGTTAACTTTGCAACTCAATTGTCTTTCTTTTTATATGAACAGGAAATCTAATTTATTTATGTCAGCTGATGTTGCTTATACTTGCATTCCTTTTTTGGGGGGAAGGGTACAGAAGAATTTATTATGCTTCTTCTGTGTTTAGTTTTTCATTTTTATATCATGTTTATGTCCTAAGAGAACAAGTATTTTTAAAATGCCTTATGGATTGAAATTAGCACTAAAAATTGCCTTGCATTTGTTTTTAACAGTAAAACAGTTATAAGAAAAGGACCATTGAAATGGTTGCATATTTAAATAGAAAATTAATGTATTTTAAGATGTGTATCTCACTGACTACCAGCTAATAAGAGTATATGCCTAGAATACTGCTTTTTCTTGAGACTACCAGCTGTACTGATATTTTAAAAACTTCCTTTAACTTTAACACTTATTACTGGCATGTGTAATAATTTCTTTTTTGGAAATACAAGTAAAATTATTAGCTAAGAGCTGAAGCTTTTCCAGAAATATGAATGAAAATGCATTGATATTGAGATCATATTCTTTTGCTCCCTTGTTGTGTCATGTGATTCTTTTTTTTTTTTTTTTAATTGTGATTTAGGTGACAGTTTACAGAGCAAATTCACTTTCCATATAGCAATTCACATACATTTTGTCTCATGACATTGACCTTAATTTACCACAAAGCAACAGTTTCCTGATTCTCATTTTTTGGTACAAATACTGCTTATCAGGTTGTCCTGGTTTATGTTTACATCTTTGAAAAGTTCATGGTATATTTTAATAGCATTAAATATATTACAAAATATGGAGTAACTAATTGTTCAGTTGTATTTCATTTTCTGTCTCTTACTGTTTAGTAATAAGCATTTGTAATGAAAGCAAGTAAAAACACAACTTTAATTGTCTAGGGAATAACAAAAAATATAATGACTGTCTGCATCCTTTTTAAAACTACAAAGTTCTTTTAATTTGAAGAACTATATTTTACCTGAATCTTATGATCATTTTTGAAAGATACTCTTTAAGTGGCTTTTATTTAAACTTCTTGTATTCTGGAAGTTAATATGTTGAAGAACTATAGTTATCCATTTTCTTAGCACTAATCATTATTATGGGAGCTCTGGTGGTGTGGTGCCTAAGACATTTGACTGCGCTAACCAGAAGACTAGGAACTCTGGTAGCATAGTGGCTTAGGCACTTGACTGCTAACCAGAAGGCTGGTGGTTCAA